TATAACACAGAAAAAAGTGGAAACAGATGACATGTGTCTATGGCTTTGACATATCGGGAGGTAAGGGTTGGTAGGAACCAAGTCCTGCCTTGATAACAATATAAAAAGTGGACAAACTAACTCTACACAATAACAATAGGCACTGAGGTTTTTCTGAATCCAGGGTGCTTAATTAAACAACACTAGAAGCTATTCGCATAACAAAGTCCATCACTGATGAATCCTAGCAAATCCGAAATACAGTTGCAACAACATAAAATTGACAGAAGGCTAATAAAATCTCCACCCGAATTCGAAAATATGGATTACTTATATAAAATAATGGAAAATTAAGTATAGGAATCTAGAATCCTGCAATCTTGGCAGCGCAAGTGCTTTGTGTTCCCCAGACAGATCGCATGCTTGCTGGAAAATAGCCTTTCTACATACATTTAGAAAGGTCCGTTTCCGGAGAAACAGTGTGATTTTTTTGTCTCTGACGAATTAGAAGAGTCTGCAGCTTCTTGGTGGTTTTGTAGAAAGCTGGATGGGCAGTTGTCGATTCTGAGAGTCTACAACCGGTAACGTGATCCTTATGGCGGATCGGGGTTGATCTAACCCTGTGATGAAGTCTCTATTTGGGGCGGCCAGTAAACTGGTTACCTATAGTCGGTTTTTCCTTGTCCGAAAACAATGCACCATCATTTGTGCATGGAGAAATTGACATGAGAAATGTAAAACAGGGAAAGTGAAATAGAAGTTGTGGCATTCAGTGTCCGGGAACGTGTCTTAGGGCCGGAAAGATTTGAATGCACTAGCTAAATTGGCATGTTGCGGAGCAGAAGCCAAGAATCCCAGTAGAGAAGAAGCTATGGTAATACTGGATGCCGGATTTGTCAAAAGCCGTGCGAAATTATTCCACTAGGTCCATTATTGGGCAAGATATGTATTTCGTTGTTTTTTACTCGAATATTATTAGAGAAACATCTATTTCCGTTTTAAACAGAACGGATAAAAATTGGAAACCATTGGGAAAGTCGAGAATAGGTTTAAAAATTATTTCGGCAAAATTAAAATGGAAAATGTCAAATAAATATCTGCTAATTAAAATATGTCCTAAAAACCGATTTGGAAAGCGGTAGGTAGTATTGACATTCATGACTCACCTTATTAGAGACATATTGCAATCTCTAGATATCAATATTTTCAGCATTAGTATTCAAATACTATTCCTATAACATTCCATATAGAGGACTTCAGTAAACAACTAAAGATACGTGTGTATTATTGCGGCAGGTTTCGAAATAATGATTAACATATTCTACCATGAAAATCACCTTGCTTTAAAGTTCGAATTGAGTAGGTATTCATCATTTCATATGAAAATGTGTACTTAAATCAAAAATTAAGTGAAAAACATTTTTCAATAAAATGAATGGTACCTATAATTAAAAAAAATTGCTCTGATGTTTTCAATATAAAGAGATATCTAAAGCATTTTCACAATTAGTAAAATATTTGGGTTATTCTATTGTGGAAAATTACGTATGGTCTAGTTGAAGATATAATAATAGGCTTTACAGAACTACTATTTAGAACCACGGCATGATTCTAATTTAATTATAATTGGATGGATCGAGAAACCATACTAGGTACTATAAAAGAAATGTTTTTGGGAAACTCGGCCCCTTCGGTGGATTTGACTAGGATGGTAATTCAGCTATTTATAGAAAATTGGCTTAATGATGAATTTGAAATAACTATTCACAATGCTTTCGATCAGCAAGAGAAATTTTGCAGAGAAGAAATTAACAAGTGATCATTATTAGACATCTATGTTTCGTTGCATAATATTGGGTCGTCTAAAATAACAATCGGTCATCAGTGTGAGATGTAAAAGTATATATATATATTTTTTTCAATTGATTTATAATATATTTGTTACGGTACCTATATCATTTATTTCACTTTCTTCTCTATTTAAACTCCAAAGATTTTTTGTGTCTGACAGCTGTACAAAGTAAGCAAATGGAAATGTTTTTTTTTTGGGTACTTGGATGCCAAAAACGGCATACCGAATATAATATTTCTTTCGAACGTTAAATCAAGTGACACAGTTTTTTTCATAACAAAGGTCATCAAGCAAGTATAATTTTTCACTGATGTAGTTTAGAAATCCTAATACATATTTAATAAGTACCTACCTACTAAACATTTTAGAAACTTTTCATAATATAATATTTCTTCTGAAACTGAAATGAAAATCCAGTGACACAATTTCTAAAAAGTCTAAAGTGCCAATTGACGCTATGATTTGTCCATGAAATACCATCAAAAATTTAGTACAAAATTACCCGATGGGTAAGTTCTTGATCATTTTCCGATGGTTTGTGGATCAAATGAGATGCGTGTTTGATTCAAATAGTAAAACTAACCTCGGTCGAAAAGGAAGATTTTCTGCCTAGAGAAGAGGATAATTTCCCGTTTAGGTAGGTAGCGCCAAAGACAAAGGAAATAAGGGTACCTAACTAAGACAAAATCCTCATCCTTATCTATGAAAAAAAAAACCCATCAGTGTTCGTTCCAATTATCCGCCAAGACTAAAGGGTCATTTACATCCACTTAACGTAACTTAACGTACGGAAAATTATAATTAACGTACGAAACTGAGAAGGTGTGTGTTTACAATGATGTTAATTTTCCTACGTTTAATCACCAATAACATTGATAATAACAGACTAGTTCAATCTGTCTGTCATTCATAATTATTATTGAAATTAACATACGGATTTCCTTAAGTTGAAGTTGGTTCAACTTAAGGAAATCCTTAATTTTTAAGTGGATGTAAACAACTACATATGAAGAGTGTAGGTATTCCTGACTGGCTAGTTATATATAGAAGGTATTTTCTGGGGTATCAGTCTGAGGGCTAAATAAAAGTCTCAAAACTTTTGTGCTACGCCTAGCTTTCAAAAGTTTTCTTTTCTTCTTCAGGGTGAGGGTGCTTTTTGGCATACGTTTTGAATAAATTGTTACAATGACAGATTGTAACAATTTATTCAAAACGTATACCAAATTTTCTTGTAAATGATATTTTTTTAATTTAAAACACGTACTTAGCACCCTGAAGAAGAAAATAAAGCTAGGCGTAGCACAAAAGTTTTGAGACTTTTATTTAGCCCTCAGACTGATACCCCAGAAAATACCTTCTATTTATCAACTACATTATATAAGTACATGATCTTCAACTTTTCTTTATTATCAATTTTCCGTATCTACGTTAAGTTAAGTTAAGTGGATGTAAATGACACTTTAGTTTTGTTTTTCAATAGTCTGGTTTAAATAATTGTGAATTTTTTTCCCAAAAAAATACTATTTTATATTTGGAAACCATACTGTACTAGAATAAATGGGAAGGGTTTTGCGTTAAAAGTTGATTTTGATGTTTCTTTTTTTTACAATTCATACCAAAAACCAACTGCACTGGTTCAAATGAGATAAAATCTACGGCATAGTTCTTCCTGTTACAACCAAACCCTAATCTGGTCAATAATTCCATTGCTTTGAAAATATTTTGTGCCAATCGTATCCGTTCATCCAAGAACGAATCTTTACCAGGCCCACTATAGATGCTAAAAAAAAAAACGCGGCTGAGATTTTATATTGTAAACCTTCACATTTAAATGTCAGTGTTTTAATATCCAGGCAAGGCATAGGATTGACAATGTGATTTTCCCTTTTCTTTTATTTCTACCGAGTATTTTATTATGCCGGGCATTCAGATATTTTTGCATACACACATCCTGAGATATCAGATAAAAAAGTTAAATTGTGACAACCGTTCTTTGCAGTATTTTGTCGACGTCTTTTATTTCGTACCTTCGAGACGTTCATGTTTCGGTCGATGTGTTTTCTGTTTTAAAATTTTTATTCTATCCCTTAAAATATCAAATATTAAATCCACATCAGCCAATAATAGGTTATTTCACTTCAATGACTTCCCAAGTACGAAGTAGGGCTTGAAATAATGGAGATAGTCCACTCCTTAAACCTACCTTTCGTACTTGTTGAACGTCCCTTGTGCCCAATCTGGCAACACAGCATGGGCGTATCAAAGAATGATTCCCCCCTCCCCCCGAAATATGAAGTCTGACCTCCCTAAGACTTCAAATAACTCAGATAGCCCTTTAACTCCTTCTCGTACTTATCGATCAACCCCAGTAGGTATACCCGATGAAAATCAGAAAAAGGAACATCCAGTGCAGTATATTGTTACAGTTTATCGTAATTAAAACAACGTACCTACCGCAAATTTTTGTTACTTAATCTCAATATCTGGCCTAATTGGTATTGCATTTTTAAACTTTCGTTTTATTAGGGGTTTTGTAAATTTATTTTGTTTACACAATTTTTACATCATAACTCATAAACTTGTTCATCAACCACAAAACTTTCTAGGACGATTAACTTTTATAGTTTTTTTAAAAAATAATAGTGTTAACTCATCTAAAAGTTTTTTTTTTGTGGGCCGACTTAAATCGTAATAAATTATTTTGAGTCTAGCGAATTCTAAATGGTTTTGTTCTACTGATTGTTTTAAGTCAAAGTACAAAGTTTCTGAATTGTAATTCTCAAGAATTATTCAAAGTGATTTTAAGACCTATAAGAAATAATGAATTCGTTAAAATAGGTATTATTTGTTTTTAATAATTTTTTTTGGTTGATTATATTGAACATGGTGGATTTTCGGCATCTTTTTGTTTGAAAAAAAAATATATATTTTTGACGTTGGTGCTATTCTAGGAATGTAAACGATTATGCTATTGAAAATGCAATTATTTTGAAGTTCAATATCAGAATTTTCCTAACTTCCTGCTTAACAAAATAATAATTTTTTAATAAGTAAAAAAATTTAACTTTTTGGCAAATTTTCAAATATCTACCTTTAAAATAATTCATAATAATAATGTATTTCTGGAAATTTTTATTTCATTTTCAAACCACATAAACAACTAACTTACCCTTTCGTTGCTCTCTTCTTCCTTCCCTTGGTAGTTCCCTTAATGGTTCTATAAAGAGTGATCATATTTCCTGAATAATAATAGAACACACGATAAAATACTAAACAAGTAAACACAGCAAAAAATTCACGCACGAGAAGAACGCGCGCGAAATTTCGTAAGTACCGCGCGCTATTCGCAGTTCCTTGGTACCGCCGACCGTAGCACCAATGAGACCTCGTAGCGTAAGAAGTGAGTGAACACTGAGCAGTGTTAACAGAGGCGCTTACCGATAGTAGGCACCCAAGAAAGGGGCGATTAATTTTCTATGTGTGGTGATTGATATGAAGTAATTAATTTCAGGTCTTCAGGCATGCTACAGTACAGATTGAAATGTGCATTAATATTTAATCATTGAGACTTCAATTTGAAGTTATATTGAGGTAATTTACTCTAAGAGAACCTACTACAAAAAAAGAGCATTAGAGGATACAGCCAACAACTTGAATAAAAGAGGAGTAATAAGGTTCGCAATAGCAATGGGTTTTCCTGGAATTTTCCGAAAGTGAGAAAAGTGGCTGAAAAACTACCTTTTGTTACAAAAGGTTTGTTCATAGAACTGTACGCAGCTTCAAAAAACTGGTATCGAGACAATAGAGTGGAGTATTAGAAAATAATATCTTTATACCAAGTAGTATACTATACTCAAGCTAAAACTCAAATAGAGTTGAGGTTATCGGCAACATTTTCAATGTTGACGTCGAGAATCTCGTTGAAAGTTAAATACAAACTACACAGGTCAAAAAAATCATTGGAGAGTCTAGAGAGATAGTGGCGTATTATTATTCACACCCAAAGGACGGATGCCGGTCAGAAGATGAACCCAAAATCTTACCGACCCATCAGCCTAACGTCCTTTCTCCTCAAATACATGGAAAAACGATAGACCAATATATCAGGAGCACAATTCTATGCAGGAGACCGCTTCATCCAAGACAATCCGCTTACCAAGCCAGGCAAATCCGCAACAAGCGTAGTTCAATAATTCTAACAAAGAAAATGCCCTTGGCGCTCTAGCAGCGTTTATCGATATAGAGGGGGTTTTCGACATTAATATACAGTTTCATCAAAAAATCTCCTGAGAAAAGGGAGAAGCAGCTCCCATTTATTATGGGATGATCGGAGGCCATGCTACTACTCGCTCAGTATCGGCGGATTCACAGACATGGGCAGATGAACTGGCGGTAATAAGAAAAGAGAGGAGGTCTAGCCACTAGAGGACGGGAGCGCTAAAATACGGGAACCAACTGAAATGGACTTTTGGAGAAGAGGGGCACGCAGGTCAAAAATGGAAAAAATCAAAAACCAGAGAATTAGCGAAATTAGGACGTTAGACACACATTAGTAGATAGTAGATGGAATCGAAAACAAACAAGGGATTTGGTCCGACATGTTCAGAGAATAGCAGATACGAGAATACCCAAGCAATTCAGTGAGTGGATGCCAGGATTGACAGAGATGGTAAGATATCGAGAATCGGAAGACATGTTGAGGAATGTTACAGACAGTCCATATAATATGGAACTCTGTCGACGAGCTAAAAACAACTTAAGTCTTTCAAGAATAGGTATACAGTTTTTCCGAGTAGCTGGGAGTTAGCCCGATGTGTAAACCCCCTACCAGAAGGATATGTAATTTCTGGTCGAGGTTGTGTTCTGTGTGCCTCTAACCGTTAGGGAACCAACATCCACCTACAAGGCAGCAGCATCTTCGCCGCTTTGTTTCCATATTGATGTTAATCAGGATGGCTACAGACGGTATGGCTAGCCGATTGTACTGCAACGGATTTAAATAATTATATATAGTTGTTGAGCAGCATTAAAAAATGGACTCTTGGCCTGACCAATATTGGATCAGATCCATGGTCACTTACGCCTCGTTGATCAGATGGCTAAAAATCGAACAAGCTATTACTCAGAACAAGTTTACTAAAGTAGCATCTAAAGGCTGATCTGCCTACGAAAAAGAGAGGCTATGTCACCTTGTCCAACATAGGGGCACTACTGAACTTGCCGCCATAATTCAGGCGATCTTAATGTCCTCTCACGCATCTTGGAGTTGATAAACCTGGAGTACCAAAGTAAACCGACAGCAACCCTGGACTTCAAGTGGTACCCAGTGAGGAACTGAACATCGCAATAACATCTGCCTTGGAATAAACGGTCGGCTACATACAAACGAAACATCAAGACTGGTTTGATGAGAATGACACCGAAATTCAATGCCTTATAGAAAGAAAAAGAAGAGCGCATAATGCATGGAAAAGCGACCCCAACACGGATCTAAAAAAAGGCAATACCAACAAGCAAAAGCAGAAGTTCAAAGGCAAACGCGAGCATTAAAGAACCAACGGTGGATAACAAAATCAAACCAAATGCAGCAACTAGCTGAATCCAACAGCATCAGGGTCTTCTTTCGGGCTACTAAGATGGTATACGGTCCAGCCACTCCACGACTCAATCGCTTACAATTCAAAGATGGCACAAGACTGCTCAAAGACAGTTCTTCTATTCTCGTCGAAAAGAACACTTTCAGGAACTACTTAACAGATAATCACAAATTGATAATGACATCTTTAACGAAATTCTACAGAAACCAATACAACAAGAACTGAGCGAAGTTCCGACTTTAGAGGAGGTTGACAAGGCAATCAGGCAACTAAGGAACAACAAGTCCGCTGGTACCGAGGGGGAGAGCGCAGATCACTGACGGTATTCCTGCTAAACTCTTTAATTAAGGGGGCCCATAGTGAGTGCCCAAACTCACATCCTAATAAGTAGAATATGGATTACTGAGGCCATACCTGCCGAACTTTACTTTCTGTTGCGGGAAAGATACTTGCCAGGATATTCTCAAATCGTCTAGTCTGTCATTCAAGATTCAAGTAAAACTTTTTACGAATTTCTCAAAAGAAAACTACTTCTAAGTAGACAGAATTATTAAAATAAAGAAATAAGCTGAACTTTAAAAAATTCCTGAAAAATGAAAATAAACCCCGATCTCTTGATAGCATAAATAGAAAGTTTAGTGCACAGTCAATGTGTAGGCTCACGCATAATGTTTTTACTCTATAAGATCGCATAGTTTTTTAAATTTCCTAAATACTTCTGCTTTGTTTTTTCAAAATGTTTATTTTTGTTCCCAATTCACCTAATTTTGCAAGAATAATTATTAACCGTCCAACAGAACTAGATACTAGATGAACGAACTCCCGCTAACAATATTACCAACTTTTTTGATATAGTATTTCCAAACTCAATTGGAACAAGGTACCAATTGGTGGCTGACTAATCACTGAAAATTTCCATAAGAAATGTACTGCCACTAGTCAGCCACCAGTTATAATTTATGTTCACCTTGTTCTAATTAACTTTGGAAAAACTATACCAAAGACTTCCAAGTGTAGGTGGGTATGTTATGTAGGTAAGTATTACGACTAGGGACTGGGGTGTCTTGATTTTCCACAAGGCCCTATTTTTCACTTTCGTACCTAGGCTCAAGCCAGGCCCTACTTAGTTTAGGATAGTGTTTGTCATTATTGATCACCACTCACCCGCATTCAAACAACTCATAGAAAACAAATATGTTGATATGATGTTCCAAACAAGTTTTATTTAACCTTAACCGCCCAAAAACTTTCATTTTAACGCTCGAAATGAACGCTTTTAGGCGTGGCACCCAAAAAAAATTTCTGCCCCCGGCGATGCCTGCGGCGAGCTACCACCACCAGCACCTACGTAAGTACTATATCTCTATGGGGCGGGGGCGGCGCAATTGTTCTTTGCACGCGGGCGGCCGATACTCTAGGATCGGCCCTGGCAAGAGAAATGGAAGTGAAATCCAGGGAGCAAAATCGCTCTTCATATATTTAGTGAAAGCATTTGAATCGGTCAACAGAGAAGCTCTTTGGAAGATATTGACAAAGGTTGGGTGTCCGCAAAAGTGCATCCAGATACTAGATAGTCCTCCTGCTGCACGACAGTATGAATGCAACCGTCCTGAGCAACGATGGACAAGGAGAGCCTTTTTATATAACTACGGGTGTTAAATAGAGCTGTGTTATTGTACCCACCTTATTTTCTCTATTTATAGGATCTATACTTCACCTTGTCGAGGGTCACCTGCCGTCAGGAGTGGAAATCCTGAACAGAGTTGATGGCGACTTATCCAACCTGAACAAATTACGAGCCAAGACGAAACTATCGACGACATCGATAATTAAACTCCAATGCCCAGATGATAACGTCCTCTAATATTCCTCTGTATTGGCCATACAGAGGAATATTTTCAGGCAATTATCAAGTCAAACTTAACTAAGATCAGATTCTGCACCGGATACTAATCCCCAAGCCCCAAATATACCAATAAATCACCAGTCTTCATTCTTTGTAGAACCTAGAGCATTACCCATACCTTGAGAGCCATCTGCCAGCGAATGCAACCATTTACGCTGAAATCCAACATCGCTTGAAGTGTGCTAGCGCGGCATTCGGGCGACTTTCAGAGAGAGTCTTCAACAATCACGATATCAGCGCTGAGATCAAACTCTGCGTTTATAATGCCGTTGTAATACCAACTTATATGTGGCATGGATCACCTACAGGAGACACATAAAAAGCCTCGAAATCAGCGATACCTAATAAGGATCTTACGGATTGACCAACGAACAAACATTAGTGGGAGACCAAAACAACTAGCATTGAAGCCCTCATCATTAAGCACCAATTCGCTGGACAGTGTTGTGTTTAATTCTTTTAGTAGTTAAGGTGATAGGTAGCTAACTTCATATTAAAGTTGTTATGTAGATTGACATCACAGTTGTTATAGTCAGCTGGGTCAAGGCGCGCAAAATAGGCCCCAATGTTGGAGGTTATAATACAGGAGTCAGCCGCAGGCCTAGCCCAGAGTTCGATTGTTATTATTAGAATTCCGTATTGTTCAAAAACTTAATAAAGAGACCTGTCCAAAAGAATGTGTTTGTCTCAATTAAATACACAACATCAATTGGCGACGTCGGATCTCGAGTCCATGCAATTATAATCTGTAAGTGCTTAATAAAAAAAAAAGTAGTCCTTTGCTGTGGTGTGGTCCCTTCAAAAAAAAGTTGTGTATCAGTAACAGTGTCAAAAATAAAACGGCGTTTGTTGGTAGCATTGAGGCTTT